GGCCAGAAGATTTCTCTTTCAAATAATCGTTTATAGCAAGATTTAAGAAAATAGCAGCGCCTCTATTGTCAAAATTCGTAACTAATCGGAGTGATGGATATTACGAAGTATATGTGCGAGAGATATAGAGAAATGTATGAATTTCGAGAATAGTAACGATCACTTGTTGCACGGCCGATTATCGCATTGAAATTAATAGTTAACAGTGATAAATACGAAAGTCAAAATGCAATTATATCGTAACCANAAAATTATTTTCATATTTAACTATTTCTGATCTAATTTTTATTTGTCTAAACATTAAAATAAAGATGCACAACTTAAGTAATATCTTAGGAAGTCTCTAATAATATATTATCCTATGTCTGTATAGTACATCTGCATATCTATGACAAACACTTTTTATATTAGTGGAAAGCATGTGCTATGGCAGCTGTATTTGAATTCAAATATTTCTTAGAACAGATCTGTTAAATTTTGACAGTTAAGTAATTAATCATTTAATTTATAATAATTCTTGAGTTTAAATTCACTTACATTCAAGAAAATAAATTACCTCTGAAGCTACAACCCAGCCTAAAATTATGAGGTTTTATTTCTACTATAAATTTTGATAAATAACAACTTTTATAAGTTATACTTTTTTCTTAGTTTCTTTACTTTCTTTCTTCTTAGTTTCTTTCTTAATCAGTTAAATACTAAAGCTAAAATGGATTTTTGTAGAATTAACTGTGTGTGTATAAATCCAATATTAAACTCAAATATTGTTGGATTACAAGGATATAAATTAATTATAATTATAATGTGTTTATGAATATTTGACCTATTGACATAGAAAATATTTTAATCAAAATCAGGCAGTATGCAGCATTAAAATGTTTATATCTTATTTTGTGCATCCCAATGAAAACAAATAATTGATCAAATTATACTTGGTTTTACAGTATGCTCTCAAGAGCATATTATAAAGCCAAGTAAATGACACCTCCAGATCACTAACATATATAAGTACAGTAAACCCCAGTTATTCTAATCATAGATTACATCTATTGGTTAATGTTATCAGAATTAGCATCTCTCAAAACACGCAAGTTATTTGTCATAGCATATTCTTACATCCTCAAACTCGCGAGCGAACATTTTCGGCCACGATCGGCAATGCAAATTAGTATCAATCTTCCCTTTATTTTCCTTTCGACCATATCTTGGCTCATAGCACCCAAAGAATAACTCAGAAGTTAGAAAACGTTTGTCTCGAGATAGTTTTTGTTTTCTTCATGCCGGTTATCAATTCCGCATTCGTCATTACATATTTCCCGGTGCGATACGTCATAATTTATATTTTGGCTCACCACATATCAAGATTACACACACGTACCAATGTTATTAATAAACTATTTTGCAATTAAATTGACTCCCTCATCACAAAATAAGATAAAGTTTACTATTTAACCAAAAGAATTATTATTAACATTAATAAAAAAAATAACTATAATTCATAAATCTTCAAGTTATATATTTTTAATCATTTTAACAAGTTCTTTTAATATCAGTTAATAAAACCAACGTTTAACCAATTACGATTTTATCGACTCAATGTTATCGGTACAGGCAAGCCTCAAAAACGATCACAATAAGCAAATTCTACTAAGCCAGTATCCCTCGCACATATAAAATAAGAATTTTATACGATAAAGAAGAAAAAATGTATTTATTTAAACCGAATTTTTTTTGTCACATAAAATTCATTCCGACCATTACAGTAATATTTCAATTCATTGCATTACAAAATATTTCTTGTTTACTCAATTAGGCATATGTTTCATACATATGAAATGTTAATAAAAAAAATGTATATGGAAATTATTGGTAAATAAATTTTAATTTTGAATATTTTCATTTAATCTAATTGAAATGTCTTTGAAACTTATGGAATATTAATNGAAGTATATGTGCGAGAGATATAGAGAAATGTATGAATTTCGAGAATAGTAACGATCACTTGTTGCACGGCCGATTATCGCATTGAAATTAATAGTTAACAGTGATAAATACGAAAGTCAAAATGCAATTATATCGTAACCATCAAATTTTGATCACATGAATCTAATTTCCTGGTAGGCTTAAGTTCGATCCGGATTTTGCCTTTTTATTTATTTATTTATTTATTTCTTTTTTTTTGCATCCAACAAGGTCAAGGTACTTAAAATAAAAAGGTATTATTCTTTGTATACGTTATTTTACCTTAATAAAAATTAATACGTAATTTTTTTTAACGTTTATACGCGAAGGTTTTAATGTAAACAAAAGTATTTAATTAATTGAACATAACTTTTGGTAGATGTAAAGTTTAAGTAATTTGTATACACTGTATAGGTTTACATACACATACACACACTAATAAATGAGTTTAAAGTAGCTTCTGTCTAACTTTCTTTATATCTTTAAAGATGATCAAAGACAAATTGTTTGTTTTTGTGGCATTTTATATTTATTCGGTTATATAATATATAAAATCAAGAAGAATCGCTGAAAAAAATCTTATTTTTAAGTTGCTTAGATATATTCTTCGTGTACTTTTTTTACAAATTTGAAAAAATACAAGGAAAAAGAGAAAATGGAGCGGTTTGTTTAAAGTGAGATTTATATCTCTTAACGTTTATTCCGAAGTGTTTATAAAATTGTAGAGTTCTTCGTTAAATTTCCGGTCGGTTAGTTTCCTTGTACTCGAAAGTATTTTTTGAAAGTCTAAAATTAACGAAAGTATAAAAATTGAATCAAATGTTATGTAAAAGTTACGTCATTAATTTATATAACGTTACTTTAAAAATGAAAAAATAATGGTGTTATTATCGAAACGTATTTTAAAAATCAAAAGTTAACGAAAAGTACAAAAATTTGATGGCGTAATGTTTATATAAAAAGCATCGTTAGTAAATGTTTTGCGTTAATGGAAATCTGCCATTAAATTGTTTAATATTGGGATTTAATTGAAACAAATCTCAATCCAATAAAATTTTTATCAGACTGCGGCGCTAATGATTTTTAAAGTTTGGTTTTTCTAAATGGTTTTGTATTTATTTACGTGTCATACGTAAGAGAAAAATCAAATTTGAAGTTATTTAAATATATAATTACTGATATATTTCTTAATTTTTTTTAAACAAAATTTTAAGATGATTGTCCACTTTTTTAAGTTAGAAATTATAAACTTCACTTTGTATTAGTTTTAATTCTTAATTTATGTAATTGTTACAAGTATTTACATAATTATTGAGTGACTGATATGAATTGTGATATTGAATTACTGTATTTAGTTATTGGCATATAAAAATTAAATGAAATTACAGAAACTGTAGTTTGAATTACTTGTAATGTAAGATGTATATATTAAAAAGTAGAAAGCTTTCTTTTTATTTTTTGTTTTTTCTATTTAAAATGAAAAATATTTATTATTATTATTATTATTATAAGTAAGAAAAAAGTTAGCAGAATTTGTAAAATTATTAAAGTTACTGATAACTAAAAAACAATAATAGATAATTAACTTTATTAATAATTTAATAAATTAATAAATCTCATTAAATGTTTATTTTAAGTAAAGGGATAATAAAATGTTTTATTTTAATTATAGAATGCTAATTTAGAAATTATTATTTTTAAAATGAATTATTATATTAATTAATAAAAATTAATTTTAAATATTTTTTATTACTTGCTGTTTTAATTTTATAAAGTTTGTGTAGGTTATAAGAATTTCTTAGTTATTAATTATTAAGAACTTGATTTGTATGCACATTCATGGTTTTTTTTTTTTTTAATTCTATGATGATCAAACCTCTATATGAAAACAATTTGGGTATAAGTGGATGAAATTTAAGGTTGTCCAAGAATGCATATTTTTAGATTTGACCATTTTTGGGATTAAATAAATGCTTTATAAACTTCATAGTTTGTTTGTTTGATTACAAGTGCTAATTTTTCAAATGATCTATAATCTATTTCTGCTATTTGTGCAAACAATCTTTTTTGTGTATGTACAGTACAATAAGTGGAAAAATTTCACTTTGTGATCCAATTACAGATGAGCACACAACATTTAAATGTTTTAAATCTGAACTGTCTAGCTCAATTCTTTTAAACATGTTTTGAATTGATGTAAAAATATCTCATTTTTAAATTCTGAAAATTCTTCACAATAATTTTAGTCCAATTAATTCAATTATTATATTTATTAATTTAAAAATGTTAAATTTAAATCTTTCAAAAAATTGTGTAAATATAATGTTTAATTAAATATAACAGATAATTTATTGTGAATCAAATAATCAAAACTTATGCAAATGAGTGTGCAGAAAAGATTGTTATATCAAGTTCACTTTAATGAACAATATGGGTAAAACAGCAAAATCTAATGCTGAATTGCTAAGAAAGTATGTACAGGAGTTTGGATCCTAGACATTTGAAAAAATTCTTTATNGTGTAGGTTATAAGAATTTCTTAGTTATTAATTATTAAGAACTTGATTTGTATGCACATTCATGGTTTTTTTTTTTTTTAATTCTATGATGATCAAACCTCTATATGAAAACAATTTGGGTATAAGTGGATGAAATTTAAGGTTGTCCAAGAATGCATATTTTTAGATTTGACCATTTTTGGGATTAAATAAATGCTTTATAAACTTCATAGTTTGTTTGTTTGATTACAAGTGCTAATTTTTCAAATGATCTATAATCTATTTCTGCTATTTGTGCAAACAATCTTTTTTGTGTATGTACAGTACAATAAGTGGAAAAATTTCACTTTGTGATCCAATTACAGATGAGCACACAACATTTAAATGTTTTAAATCTGAACTGTCTAGCTCAATTCTTTTAAACATGTTTTGAATTGATGTAAAAATATCTCATTTTTAAATTCTGAAAATTCTTCACAATAATTTTAGTCCAATAGATTCAATTATTATCAGCGCCTCTATTGTCAAAATTCGTAACTAATCGGAGTGATGGATATTACGAAGTATATGTGCGAGAGATATAGAGAAATGTATGAATTTCGAGAATAGTAACGATCACTTGTTGCACGGCCGATTATCGCATTGAAATTAATAGTTAACAGTGATAAATACGAAAGTCAAAATGCAATTATATCGTAACCATCAAATTTTGATCACATGAATCTAATTTCCTGGTAGGCTTAAGTTCGATCCGGATTTTGCCTTTTTATTTATTTATTTATTTATTTCTTTTTTTTTGCATCCAACAAGGTCAAGGTACTTAAAATAAAAAGGTATTATTCTTTGTATACGTTATTTTACCTTAATAAAAATTAATACGTAATTTTTTTTAACGTTTATACGCGAAGGTTTTAATGTAAACAAAAGTATTTAATTAATTGAACATAACTTTTGGTAGATGTAAAGTTTAAGTAATTTGTATACANCTCAATTCTTTTAAACATGTTTTGAATTGATGTAAAAATATCTCATTTTTAAATTCTGAAAATTCTTCACAATAATTTTAGTCCAATTAATTCAATTATTATATTTATTAATTTAAAAATGTTAAATTTAAATCTTTCAAAAAATTGTGTAAATATAATGTTTAATTAAATATAACAGATAATTTATTGTGAATCAAATAATCAAAACTTATGCAAATGAGTGTGCAGAAAAGATTGTTATATCAAGTTCACTTTAATGAACAATATGGGTAAAACAGCAAAATCTAATGCTGAATTGCTAAGAAAGTATGTACAGGAGTTTGGATCCTAGACATTTGAAAAAATTCTTTATTGTAAATATACCACAAATCATTTCCTTCTATAAAAACATGTTGAAATGCCCTTATATCAACAAAACATGAAATGTCAAAACAAGCCAAAACAGCAATTGATCATAGATAAGTTCTACAAGTAGCTTCACTGAAACTAAGTTTAGTAGTGTTTGTATCAGTTGGGAGTGAAACTTAACTATCAGCTTCATCACTAAATCTATAATTAGTTAATAAGAACCTTTACTCATTTCTTATTATTTGTACAAGGCTACAAGCAAAAATACATGACTACTTTAGACCAGTGACATAACTATAGAACAAGGGAAACTAAGCTAATTAAGTCATCCTCAAACATCTTGTAAACAATTGTATATATAGAAATAAATTCAATAATGATTATGATTAGATAGCATAGAAAGTTATAAAATTTAATTGAATATGTAATTGAATTGACTGTGTTCCTACATGAAATATTATTTTAATACATGCTTTGTGATGCCATAATTTTCAAATTCCTTATCACCTATTGTCACATCGTCATGTTTATTTTATTCCACCTATAAAGTGTGACATAATAAACATTAGTAGGATTTGCTCATGCATTTCAATGTACAAATTTTAATGTATATTACTGATGCTATTAACATGCATAATGAATATTTCAGGCATTTTAACATACTGTAAATACAGCAGAGCTTATATCTGGCATTTTTACACGCACATATATGCATGTATATTGCAATTTGAAATGCATAGGAGTGATGGATATTACGAAGTATATGTGCGAGAGATATAGAGAAATGTATGAATTTCGAGAATAGTAACGATCACTTGTTGCACGGCCGATTATCGCATTGAAATTAATAGTTAACAGTGATAAATACGAAAGTCAAAATGCAATTATATCGTAACCATCAAATTTTGATCACATGAATCTAATTTCCTGGTAGGCTTAAGTTCGATCCGGATTTTGCCTTTTTATTTATTTATTTATTTATTTCTTTTTTTTTGCATCCAACAAGGTCAAGGTACTTAAAATAAAAAGGTATTATTCTTTGTATACGTTATTTTACCTTAATAAAAATTAATACGTAATTTTTTTTAACGTTTATACGCGAAGGTTTTAATGTAAACAAAAGTATTTAATTAATTGAACATAACTTTTGGTAGATGTAAAGTTTAAGTAATTTGTATACACTGTATAGGTTTACATACACATACACACACTAATAAATGAGTTTAAAGTAGCTTCTGTCTAACTTTCTTTATATCTTTAAAGATGATCAAAGACAAATTGTTTGTTTTTGTGGCATTTTATATTTATTCGGTTATATAATATATAAAATCAAGAAGAATCGCTGAAAAAAATCTTATTTTTAAGTTGCTTAGATATATTCTTCGTGTACTTTTTTTACAAATTTGAAAAAATACAAGGAAAAAGAGAAAATGGAGCGGTTTGTTTAAAGTGAGATTTATATCTCTTAACGTTTATTCCGAAGTGTTTATAAAATTGTAGAGTTCTTCGTTAAATTTCCGGTCGGTTAGTTTCCTTGTACTCGAAAGTATTTTTTGAAAGTCTAAAATTAACGAAAGTATAAAAATTGAATCAAATGTTATGTAAAAGTTACGTCATTAATTTATATAACGTTACTTTAAAAATGAAAAAATAATGGTGTTATTATCGAAACGTATTTTAAAAATCAAAAGTTAACGAAAAGTACAAAAATTTGATGGCGTAATGTTTATATAAAAAGCATCGTTAGTAAATGTTTTGCGTTAATGGAAATCTGCCATTAAATTGTTTAATATTGGGATTTAATTGAAACAAATCTCAATCCAATAAAATTTTTATCAGACTGCGGCGCTAATGATTTTTAAAGTTTGGTTTTTCTAAATGGTTTTGTATTTATTTACGTGTCATACGTAAGAGAAAAATCAAATTTGAAGTTATTTAAATATATAATTACTGATATATTTCTTAATTTTTTTTAAACAAAATTTTAAGATGATTGTCCACTTTTTTAAGTTAGAAATTATAAACTTCACTTTGTATTAGTTTTAATTCTTAATTTATGTAATTGTTACAAGTATTTACATAATTATTGAGTGACTGATATGAATTGTGATANACACAAATAATCTTGAAAAGCATACCAACAGTAAATAAATTCAGCATACATACATTTGGTTTTTAATGTAATCTAGGATGGCTTATCTATGGGTCAATCGCATTTATAAGATAATGGCATTTGATTTATCTGACCTAATGACCACAATATCAATAGTATGCAACCATCTTTTAGATCTTCCAGAAAGAAGTTAATTGCAATGGAACACAAGTATTGTGGATTTGAAAGGCATCCTTCCATCAATAGAATTCTTTGTAAATTTGACCGTCTTATAAGTGATTTTCTAAATCTTATTAGCACATTTTATTTAAAACTAAAGAAAGTTATATTTTTTATTCATAGATTACTTTACAATTTAACTATTTAACTACTGATACAATAGACTTTTTCAGCAAACTAGATTTGACTCAAGCATTAATAAACTTGTGGGTAAATTATATTGATAAACACAAATATAAATCTGGATTTTTCAATTCATTTTTAAAATTAATAATAAATATAGTAAGTTAACCTTTCTTCATTTTTAATTACAATAGTTTTTAGAGTATAAACTGCACCTAGGTATAAATAGCAGGGAGTAAAAATAGGTTGTTATTGTAAACTAATCGACTGATAAGCCACACTAAATTTTAGTTGCTGATAAATACTCAATGTTAAAAATACAAATGCTTAATTAAAAACAATAGTTACAATTATCATTTAAAAATATTACTTGCAACAAATGAAATTCATTGACATTAAAACCACACTTTAAATACTAGATGTATTTCATTGACAATTTAAAATATGCAATTACCATCAAACCAGGAAAAATTCAACTTAACTAATCATTAAACAAACATTTTCATCTATTTTCAACAGTCATCCTCAGATTTCAAAGTAATGGAATGTTTGTCCAAAGAATGCAAATTCCAAAGATTTTTAAGAAGTTGCATGTTGTGGAAATATACACATGTTCAATGTTGCATTTAAGAAGGTTAAATTCGACTTCAAACTGGCTCCCAATTTTTTAAAAAATACTAAATTTATATGAAATATAAAAACGAAACCTGACCAAGATCTATAGCACATCAAAATATACCCGCCACACAGCCACTAATGAGTCCACTTCTTTAAACTTAATTGCTGTCCTACTCCAAAATGCTTTAAATATTTCCATTTGTTTAACAATTAGTTTAAATCAAATTTTTGCTGGTTTAATGATAATTGCATATTTTATTTGTCTTGTATATCAGTAATATCATGATGGTTGCAATGACAATTTCAAAGTTCAATAGCATTAGGTCATTAAACTTGTAAATTTCAATAATTCCTAATATCAGTGATACTGAATGTCAATATTAGCCAGTATTCTTTTTTCTGATTTCAATATTAGAAAATATTGTATTGATAATCAATTATTTGATAGTATTGAACACCACTAGTTCAGATGCTGCTGCCAACTGCAAAGTGATTCTTAAATGATGTGAAACTTTCCACACCTAAGCTGCAATCTTTTTTTCATTGTAAAAACAACACATAAGTCATGGATTATATTCCAAAAATTACATAAGAATATAAATATCCAAATCCAATATTTATATATTAAAGCCAAATGATTTCCAAATTATATCATGCTATATTATTACTATTTTCTTCCAGAAACTTTAAATTATTAAAATATTAATTTAATTATAATTATTAAATTTAGCAAGAGATGGCACCTAATGCTTGCCTCTAATGCCAAATTACTTAGCATTTAATTATTATTATTAGTAGTAATATAGCCTGATATAATTTGGCAATTATTTGGCTTTATGATGTAAGGATTTAATACACTACAGTATTCTAAAAACACTATGCTACAACTAAGTTTCTGTCAAATACTTAAAGAGAATTAAAACTATACACTTCAGCACTAGTCTCTAAGAAAAAGTCTATTTGCCTGTGAGCTAATACAGTATATTATTCATGGACTTATCCATCAAAAATATAATTTTTTTCAGTTTATAAAAATTTCATAATATTTTTTTTTAATTTATAAAATTTAAATATTTTAAAAATTCAAGTAAATCTATTATGTAAATAATAATAAACTACAGTCGACCCCCCCTATAACACTGTTGATTTTTCTGTTTTATATGAATTCCATGTTGTACGAGTCACTTAGATTTTACAAATACGTGTGCCGGGCTGTGAACAGCTCACATATTTGTATAATCTAAGTGACTCAAACAACATGGAATTCATATAAAATGGAATTATCAACAGTGTTATGGGGGTCGACTGTATATATTATAATAGTTTAAAATTTATCTATAAAAGTCAAACAGATATTAAACACCTGCAACTATCATAATCAAGAAGTAAAATATTACTAAATATAGCAGTAAATATTCAATGAATA